TAGTTTGTCCATCAGGGTTTGGGGGATCATGGTGTTGAAGGCGGATGTGAAGTCCACAAAGATCATACGGACGTAGGAGTTCTTCTGCTCCAGGTGGTTGAGTGAAGTGTGGACCACAGAGGAGATGGCATCCTCTGTTGATCGGTTCTTACGGTATGTGTACTGGTGAGGGTCCTCGTTAAAACAGAAAGGTGGATTTAATGTCAGTAATAAGGTGGAAGAACTAAACCTTTATGGATTATGCTGGATTAAAATGACAGAAGGATGAGAATTAGATAAACTGCCAGAAAAATAGAGACATCACTTCAAATAAAAATCCAGAAATAAAGTTTATTTTAGTCATCATGACAGCTGAAATAACAGAAACTACCTGTTGCTGGTTGTAGAAACAATCTGAGCTCATATCAGCCAGTACAAACAAACCAACATGTTTTTTCTCTCTGTGATCATCTGAAGGCAGAGTTTAGTTCATCATCTCTTCGTCCATCTGAGGGGGGTTAATGATGAAGGTTCAGGTTGGACTTCTGGGGGCGAGTTGAAGGAGCGACACTTTCATAAACTAAACTTGATTTGTTTGACAAGAATAAAAATAGAAGTTCTAGACCAGGACTGTTCGACTAAACTGCTCAAGGGCCGGACATCCAGCAACTGAAGTCTTTCTGTAAATAACCATCTGTTGTTGTACACCTGGATTATTGAGCATGGACTTTGTTGTTAACCATCTGTTAACTTTTAAATTTGTTTTGTTGCATTGAATCATAAATGCAATAAATCCAAACCCAGAACACCAAAAAAATAATAATTATGAACCCATTGTGGGCCGGTCCGAAGTTTGGCCCATGAGCCACCAGTTGAATAGTCCTGTTCTAGAGGGAAAAGTGCCTGAAAACATAAAGATCGTGGAAGTAAAACACGACTAAATATTACCTCTGATCATTACTTGAATTATTTATGTGCTGCTGCTCTGATGGAGAAAGACGCTTCTTTAACCTGAGCTGAAACATGAAGCTGTAGCTACAACAAAACGTTTGTTTTTCGGCTGTTTGAAACGTGTCATCGGGCCAAACTGAAAACCCAACCGGAGCGTCAGATTTCAGCCTCCGTCGTCTGATTCAAACCTGCTAAAAGAGTAAAAAAGTCTAAAGCCTCGGTCGAAGGTGCTTCTTTAAACCTCCCCGTCTGAAAATACTGCATAGATACAAAACACAGAGCAGAGCGTAGAGATTTAAATATATATACAGTGTTTTAAGGTCTGCTGTGCACAAGATTCAAGGAGAAACACAAAGAGCGCTGCGGCAGCACGAGCTAAAACAGGTTTTAGCTGTTTTTAATCCTTCACACAGCTGAAAATAATCCGCTGAGGACAGAGGACACCAGGAGCTGAAATAAAGTCAGACTTTCTGCAGCTTCCACTTTAGATCCACACAAGCTGGAGCTCAGCCTAACCCGAGTGTTTCTGGTCTGTGGGAGGAAGAACCCCCCCCCCCCAGCTGCGAGTCAGAGCGACATGAACGTCTCCATGTGTCCCTGTGAAGGACTGGACACCTGTCCAGGTGTCCCCGTCTCTCAGAGACTGCCGGACACCAGCGGCTCTGAAAGGAGACGATGGATGGAAGTTTTGATTCGAGTCATTTTATGGGATGCACGAGCGTTTCCCCCTCAACGAGCTTATTATTTTTATTTGGTTGGTCTTAAAAGGAGAACCTTTTTTTTTAGCTCTGCTGCTTTTAGAGCAACTGAACTTCGTGGCTAAAGACACGTTGTGCGCGGGACTTTCTCGGGCTCCGCCCACCAGGGAGCAGCATTACGTGGACAACGTTTTATTCATCGTTTCAGCCTCGGAGCCACGTGAGAAAATCCTTAAACTACTGAAAACTCCTCGTGTTAAAACTGTAGTTTATGCAGGCTGAACTCCCATGCAAATCACTCTCCCTCCTGAGGGTCTTTCATGCAAACTTGGAACTAGGCCTGTCACAATAACACATTTTGCTGGGTGATTAATTGTCTCAGAAATTAATGCGATAAATGATAATATTGTTTGAAATTTGACAATAATTATTAGCTATTGTCAAATTTAAGAAGAAATGTTGGTTAATTGTTGTGTGTAGTACCTTTTTCAACCGCCGGATGGCAGTATAAGACAGTTTGAACCGAAGGATGGATAGTGAGGGAGTGAGCAGCGTGTCTCTTTAAGAAAAATGGGAGGGAGGCCCCTTGACGTGACATGAGCCGTCTCTTCTGTTCTCAAAATGGAGGACGCTCGGTGTGGTTTGAGCTCTTTAGCATAACATTGTTTATAAAAAAGCTTTTAATAAAAATAAAAAAAATCAGTAAACAAGTTCTCAGCTTCTTTTTACAACGAAAAACAACTTTTTATACAAAGGCACGAGTTTCAACCGTGAATTTTGGAGCTTCGACAAGACGGAGGTTTTCTTTCCCAAGGTCAGCCTGTTAGCTCGTAGCTTAGCTTCTCAGCTTAGCTGCTTTTATCGATTCAAAAACACGACTGTGGACGGTTCAAACAGATTTTAAAGAGAAAGGAGAAAGGGAGGGGTCAGTGAAGAACATCGGAGTTGAGCCTTTTTCATCCAGTGTCTTCAGTAGAAAGAGAGACACGAAGAAACAATAAAGCTGATGAATGAAAATGAGGCTGATCATTTCCATTTATCATGAGATTAATTGATTAATTGATTTATCGCGACAGGTCTAGTTGGAAGTGATGAAGAAATCTTAAAAGAAAAAGAAGCTGAAATGTTAAATAATGCTAAATAATAAAATGCTGGTCTCCTCGTGTCTTTGACAGACCTGAACACGTCTGGACTCGTTGCGTTTTGTCGACGTTCCTCAGGAAGAATCATGTGCACGTGTTCGTTCAGACTCCTGGAGTCCAAACGTCACAGGAAGGTGAACAAAAAGGGACATTCTGGTGAGTTCCTTCATGTTTTGTGAATTTATCGTGAAACGTTTCTCTTACGTTGTTGTGATTTTTCCCCGACTTGCTCTGGAAAAGACTTAAATGGATTTCTGACTTTTAGGAACCTGAGAACTGAAACAAGAACTTAAAGTTGAGGGAAAGTTCTGACCCAAGTGAAGACGACGTTGGAACAGATTTGAAGCAGGTTCTGGTGCTCTCTGCCTGGTAGTCGTGACTTTTCTCTGCTGCTCAGAAGGCACCGGCTGGTTAAACGTTACTGACTTTGCTCTTGCCTCTGGCTCCGCCCCCTGGGCTGTTTTTACTCTCGGACTTCCTGCCAGGTGAGTTCTGACAGGGGGGCGGTTTCACGCCGGACCCTGAATGGCCGCTGCTGTTGTTGTTGTGGTTCGAGTTCCCGCTCAGCGTCTCCATGATGGAGCGGAACGTTCCGAACGGCCTCCTGCCCTCGGAGCCCCCGCTCGGAGTCCGGTCCTTCCCCGGGGGGGCTCTGCCCGGTTCTGCCTCCTGGCTGGAGCTCTTGTGGACCTGCTCGTCGAAGGTGACCCTCAGTTTCAGGGTCTGGGACGTCTTCCTGCGGGACGAGGGGGACTTCAGGGCGCTCTTGGGGCTGGTTGCGACCTTCTGTCCGTCGGCGGGGGTCTCCGGGGTTTTGTCTGCAGCCTCGGGGTCGCTGGATGTGGGGGAGGGGTTGTAACCGATGCTGTCCACCGACTTGGACCCGCTGAGAGAAAAGGCCTGCTTCTTCTCAGCTGAGGAGGACGAGGTGGGGAGGCGCTTCTTCATCATCACATGGAGGTGGTTTGATACTGGCTCCTCCTCTGTGATTGGCAGGTGGGACGGCCTATCAGGGCGCAGAGTGTTTTGGGGCGGAGCTCCCTGGTTTTTGCCCTCCTCAGGTGGATAACTGTCTGAATCCGACTCACTCAGCGAGCGCTGCATGATCTGTTTGAGTCTCGCCAGTTTCAGCTCCCTCCGCTCCAACAGCCCTGTTCTGTGGCCCCCGGGGGCCCCGGGCCCCTCTCTGCTCTGCCCAGGAGGGAGTCTGTCTCTGGGACAGACCAGCTCAGACGTGTCCTTCCCCAGGAGCTGCCGCAGCACCGAGTCGGGCCCCACCCCACCCTGACGGACCAACCACTGACCGTCTGCGGGAGTCCCCTCCGCCGTCAGCATCATCTCTGACCACGCCTCCACCGAGGGCTGATGGGAGCTGGAGTCCAGAGACAGAAAAACATTTAATCCTTGAACACCAAATTCAACAGCACGCAGGTAATCTGATAATATTTAAAATAAACATCAGCTGAGGGACGGCTGAAACTGAGGGGTCAAAGCTAAAACAAGCTGACATGAGCTGAACACAAGCTAAAGGCTAAACTCAGCAGAACACAAGTTAAAAACATAGGCTGCAAAACAGATGCTAAAGCCAGTATTCAGGAAACGGCAGCTAAAAGAGCATAACTAGCTAAAATCTAAAAGAAGGAGAATGACAGCTAAAAGCAGAACAGTAGCTAAAAGCTAACAGTAGCAAAAGAAGACAAACAAAGCTAGAGTCTCAGGGCAGGTCCTAGAAAACATCGTGTTGAAGGAAGTCAAGCAGCCTCCGTGTATTTCTACAGTCAATTTAATTTTAATTAGTTAAATATGTTGAAAAGTTTAAATGTTGCTAAAACCACAAGTCGCGGCATCAACAAACAAATAATAAAAATAAATAACAGAAGTTAAAAAAAGACGTTCGGAAAACATTGAGTCACTGTTCAGACTTAAAAAAAGAATTTTATTTAAAAACATTTAACTATAAAACATGAGGAACAAGAGACCCTCAGTTGACAGGCGTGTGTGTGTGTGTGGTTCTGATGTGTGTGTGTGGTTCTGATGTGTGTGTGGTTCTGATGTGTGTGTGGTTCTGATGTGTGTGTGTGTGGTTCTGATGTGTGTGTGGTTCTGAT